TGGTCCCCGTTGAAGTTACTCTTTAATTTATTTCACACATACTCAAAGAAAATTTACACTTTTTACAACTTTATATGGTTTTCTCATGGTTGCCGATGTCAGAGCTGTGCCAAATTGAAATGGGAGCAAACGGAAAGCACCAGCTGTTTAATAAAAATCATTAAAACCAAAAGTCATTAAAAGCGCTATATAAAAAATTACAAACGAATTGGTAACCTTCTTCTTTATTGAAGTCGATTGAAAAGAACCTCAGCTTGAGTCGGTTGGAAAGAAAAGATATAATTAAAAGTCATAGATTTATTTAAAGAGTCTATCCAAACCCGAGATCATTTCAACTTAAATTAATGTTACCTAAATCCAGCATATCATACTTATTAGATATACTTAATTGATAAAATACACTTGCCTTACGATATTATTCTTTTATATTAAATGCTTGTAGCAGTAATCTTGACTATAATTACTGTTTACCTAGCATCGATAAATCATCTCTCAGGTTGCATTTTCTTCGACCTACATATATGATTGCTTCAAAAACCAAAATGGTTATTGCATGTTCTGTTTAAAACCCCCAAACCAAATGAGGACCAGTTTCAATGAAAAAATACTGAAATCTTATTAGTTGTGAATGGCCTGGTACGTAGAAAAAAATCAGAATTAACATATCCAAAACTAATATCTCCGTATAACTTGTGACATTAATTTCTAATCAAAAGTTTAAACTTATTAAATTAACCTTTAAGGAATTTAATGTTAATTTTATCCTTATTATTAGTCATATAAATAAGTAACTATATGAAGACAACAGATGAAGTTCTCAAGCAGTTGTGAATTGCTCTACTCAACACCGAAGAGGAAGAGTCACCTTTCTACGTTTACAATTGTTTTGACTAATATGAGGTGTACCTAAGAAAAACGATGCTTCAAATGCAAAAAAACATTGTTTTCTAATTGCCTAAAGAAAACTTAACAATGTGACAATGGGTTACATAAGTGATGTGGATTATATAAGGATAAGTCCCATGCCTATATGATAAAAATAATAGACCAGTTTTGTAAATACTCGTCTTCTCTGCATTTAGCATCAGGTTTTCGCCATTATTTACGATACCAAGCAGATAAACCAAAAACAGGTCATAATGGTACAGAGAGAAATTTGTAATTTTTGGAAAATAAATTTTGACTTACGAATGATTTATTTACTTTCAAAGATCTACTCGTAATTGTTACCTACTAGATTAAGGTAGTGTTCACGACTCTTTATTCTAGACTTTACTAAAACTAATAAGTTATTTATTTATCTTCTGAAAAAAGATGCCCTTTTTATGAAAACCAGGAAAAACTGTCTTTTGAAACATTGAAGGATTAATTGAAAGCATTCCTTTTATTTAGTTATCCAAAAAATTAACCGCCATCTGACTCGGCTTCACCGTGTTCCATGATATTTGTAACAAACTTCTTAAATCACCTACAAAAGTGTACAATACTAATATAATCTATCACAATAAAGACTTACAAAAGGGAAAATCAAGAAAATAATAAGACATACTACAGTAAACTGAGATAAGAGAAGATAAATGAATAATACCTTTTGCAGGAGAAACCCATCGTAACTATCCAAACCTAAAGATTTCCTCAATCTTTTTCACGCCGCATAATTGAATATTAAATCTAGCTTTTTATAATAGTAATATCCAAGGCCAATAAAATTAGTCTACAAGATGTATAATCCCTACCTACGAGTATATGTTATTTAAGTTTCCTTTGTTTTTTAATTTACACGACCATCTTCCACACCTATTTTTTCTAGTGAATATGCCTGTAGATCATCCGAACCCGACATTTTCATTATGGTTTGTAAAATTCAACAAAACCAAGAAGAAAAATTTGATTTGTTAATGATTTCTGAAATTAGATTTTCAACCCCGAGATTCAGTCTACATGTGTTATAATTTGAACTTCTACATATTTGTATCTAATCATCATCTGTTAACCCCATTTATATCTACTATGTATTATTTTAAAGTTTACTATCTTAAACAATAACAAGTCAGTATAATTCCAATTTTCAACTCTTAAGTCCAACGGTTGTCTTAAGTCATCATCAGCCTATCAGACGCCCTCTACAGAGCAAAGGCCTCTTTCTCACATGGAGAAGGTTTGAGCATTAATCACCACGCTTGCTCAAGACGGGTTGGTGATTTCAATCTTATGATTGTGAAACTATAAGTCCAGGTGTCCTCACGATGTTTTCCTTCACCGTATGTCAGTGATGTATTTTTTTTTTCTTTCTGAGAGTATTTAGATACTCTCAGAAAGTACATATGACTCCGAAAAATCACATTGGTACTTGCCAGGTTTGAACCCGCGCCCTCGGTAACGAGAGGCGAGCCCCTTAACCACTAGGCCACCACTGACTTGTTGTTGTTGTCTTAAGTAAAATAAAATAATTATTTTTTACTGAAGCTCAAACCTAAACCTAACAAAAGTACGCATTGCTGATATCGGGATGAAAAGTACTGAATTTTTTTTTGTATAATAAAATACAAGTCAGTATTAAATAGGAATTTAAAGTTCCACCAGTAGAGGTTTTACAAATAAATAATCTTTTTAAGGATTTAAAAATAAATCAAGAAAAACATTAGTTTCATTTAAATGATAAAAAATCGCTAGTCTTAGATCTCATTATGTATAATTGGGTCTTTGTAAAACAACCAATAGAGCTTCATGATCATTTCTATTGGCGTAAATATTTCGTTAGACAAAGAAGGCGTATTTTTACTTAACAAGATAAAAGTACATATCATATTATAGTATATCAGATAATAATATTTTATAACATTTAATATGTAGTAACACAACAAAAGCATTACAATTCAATTTTCCTGTATATCTGGTAAATGGTAAACGAAATTTCAGCAGAAAGAATAGATTCTTATTAGCAAAACTAAAAGTAAATAATTTCTTCACAAGATTTTAATATCAAAAAATAATAAAAACTTTCTAATCCCCGCTTTCGGGATCCCTTAACTTCTAAACTAATATTACTAAATTTCAACAACATCAAAAAAGACTGCAGTATTAAAAATAGACGTTGAGCAATTATAAAATCAGAAAATTGTTGGATAACGAAATGATTGTTAAATAATTAATCAGCTTTTCAAAGTCATACAAGTATTGACCTACCTAAAACCCATTAACACAAACTAATTGAACAATTCTACAAATAAATAAATTTATAGGCAATACATCATATACATAGTTGACAATAGGAAAAATAATAGTTCGAAATAGATTCACTGCAAATTATAGTTAAAGTTTAACAATAGAGTAATATTAAAAATATATTATGTAAGTAGTATTACGTTACAGAGTGAAAAATATAATAAATTAACAATGATATTTTACAAAATTCTATTAAAATATAACAAAAACAAGACATCTTGACTGTGCTTTAAATTCAATTTTCCTGTATACAAACCTAGTTTCATCTTTATAACTCTGTCTGTCTGTCTGTCTGTCTGAATATTAACGTTGTTTTTTTTAACACCGCCGAAATGCGTGAGTAATCTTCAAAAAATAATTTTTGAAAACCTTTTAAAGCGATTGTATTGGAAATCTTAACGATGTTTCTCATCAAAACTGGTTTAACATTTCTTGAAGAAGTCCCATCAGTATATAAATGTAATCCCAGTGACATATTTTCTATAAAAAAATAGAGTCATCTGTTATTTTAGATGGTCCTATAAAGATTATCGCCTCACAAGTCATGTCTATGTTTTTTTAAACTGTTTCTGATTTTAAAAAAGTTACAACTATTTGGGGTTTTCGGAACATTTATATACGTTGACTTACCAATATAATATTAATCTCCCAGTTCCTTCTGATGAATAAGAGATAGTTGTCAAAGTCAGTGGAGAAATAAAAGATAGAGGATTCTGACATTTTTTCACCATAATTGTTGTCACCTTTTTTATCATGACAAGTTTTGCCTTAGGGAGTCATAAAAACATAACAGACTTAAGAATTCTATTTAGTTATGTTACATCTGTAGCGGTCATATTTTTAAATGCGCAAAGATATGGCGTTTTTGTAATCGAATAATTACGAAACAGCTTTTAGAGAATAAAGAGAGAAACTCAATTACAATACTTAATGTGTAAACCGTCTACCCGATCCTTTGATAAAATGTAATAAAAAAACTTTATAATAAAAGAAACACCTCAATTTCAATAGAGAAGATGGCTGGAACCTATCAAACACCTGGGATCCTCATCTTAAAAATGTGAAATGATATGTCCGTGACCACACCGCAGAACCTCGAGACACCGTGAGCGCATTCTACTAGCATCCAGAGCGGTACACCAGAAAATTAACAAATCGATGGCGGTAGGTGATAAAACAACAAGACTGACTGACGGACACTTACATCCCGTCTAACCGTGACCACGGTTGCTGCAAAGTAGCCGAAACGTCGGGAGTGTTTAGTTTATAGTCAAAAATAAAAAATCTCGTAGTAAATCCGAAAATATTAGTTTCAATTAAAATGAGTACTCGCGAAAATCTTAGATCTCAAAATTCTAAAAATATTGATACAAAAATCTTCACAAGCATATTATTCAGCCCAAAAGAATATTAGACGGTCATTTTGATCATAGGATAAAGATTAACACTATTATTAGTTATCTCTAATAAGCAACTCGATGATTATTGTCGGATGTATTATTTTATCAATACAAGATAATACTTTGTATAAAAACTCCAAAAAAAGAAGTCGTTACGCATACCGACACAGGAGGTAAGTTACGTCAAAAACACTTGATACTTGTATTTAATTAATAAAAAATCTATTTACTTAACTCTTTATATATTACGTAATTCTTGATATTTCTATTACAATGGAAAGTTTTAATTTCATATTTTATCGTTAATTGTTGATGTTATCGAGATCATTTATTTTTTATTTATTTCTGTATCCCAATAGGTGAACTACATAAAAAATGAAACTTCAAGTCTTCGCTGTTCTCTTCTTGATCGCAGGCGCTTCCGCCTTGCCTGCTGCTAGCGAGGTGGTGGTTGTAGGTACGTAAACGAAACACTTCTATAGTAACATTCAAACATCTTATACAAGTCTGAAATTATTTTTAATATCCGTATATTTGTTTCGTTTACAGATGAATTCCAAAACCAGTTAGCCCCTAAGAATCAAGTTGTTGATCAAATAAGATGGGTAATTGAGCTGATCAGTAACACCATTAAGGGTCTGGGTTTGGATCCAGTAGAATGGGAGGGCAGCGGATTCAATATTGATATACCATTTTTGTAAGTAGCAATCTCCGTATTATACTTTGGATTCAAAATATAATCATTTTTCTTTCTTAGTCTCCTTGGAACCTCAGCAAAATCAACTCTGTTAGAATAGATTTTGTATTTTTATAGAACAAATATATATGTATTTATATGGCTTAGAACCATAATAATTTTAGATTGTTTGTTTTCTTTCAGACTGAAATTCAATGCATTCCTTGAAAACTTCCGGTACGCCGGTATCAGTAATATCCAGATTAACAACCTGCAGTACGACCGCTTCTTTAATAAACTAGACCTCGATGTTTCTCTCCCAGAAGTCGTTTTTGAAGTCGGTTAGTAACACGAAATACATGTCTTGTAACTTTTCAAATTATCTATAATATTCATCTCTTTCATGTTATTAGTTTTATTAGTGGCTGTGTCCGCAGAATAATGTTTATATTGACAAAAATAAATAAAATATCACCTTATTTTCATTTTAGGTGACTCTGGTCTCTACATCAATGTTTTAGCCTTCTTCGACATACTCGATGCTGAATTCAGGGGCAGGTAAAGGAATCACATTATTGACTTATTCTTCTAAACTGTTCATAATTATTTTTACACCTTTCATTTTCTTTTCAGTGTATCCCTCAAGTCAATCCGTCTTGTTGCTGAAGTAAACGTTGACATCAGTACCATCGGCATTTCCCTCCGCAGCCTTTCAATCAACTTCAGCCTTGGTGGCGTTGAGGTTTGTTTACATTCAATCTGTTCCAATACTATGTTCATTCTATCAAAAGTTAATCTTTAGAGCATTTAGATATTAGAAACTTTTTTCAACTGTTCAATTTGACTTTACACCAATAAATTTTTTACATTACATATATCAATGGAAATGAGTCCGTTTCGTTTCATGGCATTGCAGTTTAGAAGTATCTCGTGTGACATGACCTAGTTCTTATAATAGATATATAACATCGTGCTCATTATGAATCTTTTGTGTTTGCTAGTAATTAAGTAGGCTGATTGTGTAATAATTGTAATGATAATATGTTATAATTACTTTTTTCAGTCCGACTTAACATTCAAAATAAACAATCTGAATTTGGACTTCTCCGGATTGTTCAACGACTTCTTTAACGAAACAGTTCCTAATTTCTTCGAAGAAAACGAGGTACGTAGCTATTGATGGAAAAGTAAAAATATATATTTACAAAATTTATTATAATAATTATTTATACCATTGATCACATTCTATTACTCTGGTGATTGGTTCTATATTAAACTTTTCTCTATAACATTCGGCAGTGCCTTTGGTAATACATTATGTCATCATTAAAAAATCTTTGATAAATTAATTATTTATGTAACAAAATGTTTTTCGTCCCAGGAATTAAACTTAGAACCATATTTTTACTTTTATATATTTTAAGCATTAAAAGCAATTTTAACTCTTTTTCAGGAAAACATTAACAAATCCTTGGAAATTGTTGTCAGCATCATCCTCCGTATCATCTGGGCTTAATAATTTTATTAATTTAAAATTAATAACTACCACTACTATGTTACTTTAATTTTGCAAATGTTCCGTTACTTTATAAAAACAACCAAATAAATAAATTTAATGTTAATCATGTTTTATTATCCTATGTCAAACGTTTTTACTTGCATTTAAATCGTGAAAACATTTAAATGACACTAATGTTTTTCGGACGTAATACTAATATTTTTGACGTGAGAACGTCTTTAAAATCGTTTTAGTCGGGTGACATGTTCAGAAACTTGTGTCTCTCCAAAACCTCACGAGCGCGATAGCAGGTATAACGAGAGAGAGACGGACCGATCTCCCGTCTCATCTCGAGCGCTGCCAGTCATTCCGTGAAACTTGTCACGCGGAATCCTCACGAGCGGAGGCAGGCATAGCGTTCGAGTGAGTGGACCGATCTTCCGTCTCTCTCACTCTAGCGGCATACAAACGAATGGAGATTTTCTCGTGCGGTTAAGTTTTCGTTGAATATTTTACTTTCCAAAAACTTATATCACCAACAAGACGTTATCACGTAAACATCTCGATCGTTTTTTTTTTAAATTTTAACAAATATTTTCATTTAAATCGATACTCGTGATGACTTTCGATCTCATTCTTGAAAATATAATCATTAAAGTATTTATATTTCAATATTGTGAATATCAATAGAATATTTGTATTTCAGAATTAAATAGAAATTTAGCATTTTCCATTAATTAAATTATAAATATTAAGACATTATATTTTAAAATAAATATAATATTTGGAAAATATATTTCGGCGCTATCAGCTTTAATAATGGATGCGACATGAAAATAATTTGAGGCTGTCATCAATTCTTATTAAACCTCATTAGTATTTATGATTATTGTTAAAAGTAAAACGAAATCAAAGATTGTTTAAAAGGAGAATAGAACTATGTTTACATCCTGGTATAAATATGACGTCTGGACGCACGACGGCAGACTTCAGAATTCAGAGTCCAATTAGTGCGCATTGAATAATGTGATTATGAAGAACCTTCGAGAAATAAAGGAACATTAAGAACAATTGAAGTTTCATTTTAAAATATCATGGAACATTATAGAAGAAGTGACATTTGTTACGTCAGCGAGGCTGGCGCCTCTCTCTTTTAAAACAACGAATTTCTAATAAATCCGATATATATAATAATCAATCAGTTAGACAATTAAAAATCATTTATATGAACATAAAAATAAAATTGTTTGTTTTTTTACAATTCATAAAATTATTTACATAGTGTTCTATATCGAACGAAAGATTTTAAACTTTGTATATACAGGGTGACTGGTGAATTACTATCGATATTTGAGGACGTGATATTTGACGATCATATATGACAAAATAAAAATTAATATAACATAAATATTAATAAACTTCTAAGTAAAGTTAACCAAAAGTTATGTAATTAATTACGCATCGTATGAACACCCTACAGATTAGGTATACACACACACTCACAAAGACGCGGCGGCGGCGTAGTGTTGTATCAGCACGCCGCCGCACGCGCCCACACTCGGAACACTTGGAACGTGTACACACTTTATTTATTTATACGGAAATTTGGTCAAAAATTAAGTACCTATTTTTTTTACATAATTCGAATGAGAATCATGTACCGAGTATGCTCCTTAAATATTGATAGTAATTCACCAGTCACCCTGTATATATATAATATGCCACAGGATATATAAGTAGGCTCCGTTGTAAAAGAGTCAATGTATCTGGTGGGCTTTGCGAACCAAAGGGATCCCTGAGGCATATATTGACATCATCAGAGACATGTACCGCAATTCCGTTTCCATGGTAAGGTCTGCTGTTGGCGATACAAAACCCTTCCCGATCTCAGAATGGGTTCACCAAGGTGACTCACCACCGAGGATGCCAAAGACCGTGCAAAGTGGAGGAGTTTAAGCAGGAAGGCAGACCTTGGCTAAACCTGGGAAATGGTCAAGAAGAAGGAAGAGTTATAACAAGCTTTACGGTAATCAATCTCCCATGCTTAGATTTTTCTTACACTTATGAGCATCCTCCAGTACTGCTTTATTCACCGTCAAATGTTTTTTTGTGTATTATCATATTGCATTAGCCAATCTTCTAACGGCTCTTTTCCATTTAGAATTTCAGTAATAATGATTCTTATTATTCGTGAGGGCTAGGTTCATAAATACGTTCCCATAGAAATAACTGATAGATTAAATAACTGATAACCGTCGATAAGAAATAATGTTCATTTATTTAATGCTATTATTTTTTATATAAAACTTGATAGCGTTGCCGACCTTTATTGTCGAAGGGGAAGAAGAAACGATGCGAAAAGAGAAAGGGCAAGCGGCTCTCTCACTTATAAGATGATACGCAGCCATTTAAAACTGCATCATTCTGATCTTCTGAAAGAGTGATACTTCCCGGTCGAGCCAGTCCAAGTTCACGATGTAGTAACTAGACCACAACTAGGTTCTACCACCTAAATATAATTAATTGAAAATCAGGAATAATTTTACCAACCATCATATGCTTAACCAGCTTACGTCATACATCAAGTTACATTGTATAATTAAAATTATAATTTATAAAATAGTTTTACAATTTAATGTGCTTTTTAGTTTTACTTCAACCTTCCATCTGAAATGAACATAACTAGAACATTACTAAAATACTTTAAATAAAATTGAATAACTGAATTGTATTGCTTCCACTTTAATATATTACTAACGTTGTTTTTAACCTTTTCTGCAGTTCTTGTTCTTTATTCTTACATTCTTGTTCTATTATATTATATATATTTCTTTACTATATTTTTACTGTATTTTTTCCAATTTGCTTCATGATTGTAAATCGGGTTTAGATTTCTACACAATTCTTTAAATTTATTCGTACTCCACCTCGTGATATCTACATGTTGTCGATTGCTTTCTTAATTTGGTATGTAACCTGTGCTCATCCTCAATGAACATTTTGTCGTGTTGGTTTCTTTTGCTTGCATTTTGCCTAAGCTGTAAACTTTTGTTTTAATAATTCTTGTATATAGTTTCATATTCTATTTCATTCTTAAAATTATGTTTTTCATAGTTTTTCTTTGGTTTTAGTCGTCTTTCTTGTATTGACGCCTCTCGAAGTTTTTGTCATATATGCGTCCTAATTTTTTTTTCATTTTGTATTCTTAGTCTTGTTTTACTTTTCCATGGTGTATTTAAGAGTGGTTTTATTATATTAAGTACTTGGTGAATAAGGAGTTGTTTTTATTTATTGTTTAATTTATTAGATGATATAATATGTGTCTTGGAAAGTGTGAATACATTCCAGAATACTAGCTAGTTAAGTGTTAATGGTTGAAAAGTTTTGTATGAATCTTTTATTTTTATTAGTAAATATTTGGAGAAAAATGTGTAGGATTTAGTTGTACTCCTCGATATTTTCATTTGTGTGAAGTTATATTGAGTAGATTATATTGATATCCATCCATAAGTTTCTTCTATTATGTCATCTAAAACCGATGTATCTTACATGTTTTTTTGAATAAGCGTTTTAGTAGTTTAATTGCTGTATTTTTTTGTCTTTACTTTGACCTAGTTCAGAAGTTCTTCGGATATTAATAGTTTCTTGATTGTGTTCTTAATTAGAAAGTGTGATTCCTTTAAGGGTATGTATTTTTGATTTCTTTCCTGATAATGATTTTCTAGTTTTCTTATGTATGCTGCTCTTAAATTGATTCAAAACATGATGAATCCTTTTGTTTTGCTTGGGTCTATTTCCTACTCCTTTTTATAATAAAACTCATTATACCAGGACTCAAATATTTTCATTAATATGTTTGTACGTTCTTTTTAAATATATTGTTGAGGTGGTCTTTGTTATTAGCCGGCAGTGGTACCACTCTGCAAAGGTTCACCGGCGGTGATGTGATCTACAATGAAATTTTCAGGTTCCTTGACCCTCGCTCGTCTCCTAAGAAAAAAGTACTAATTTTTCAAGTGTCGTATAGTTTTTAAAGTTTGCTAAAGCTTAGTTAGCCATTGGTAAGTGTTTGACTGATATATAATTAGAGGTCTCTATTTTAACCCTCATCTGGCGTTGCTCTTTATCCACAGAAGGAGTAAGACTGTGGGAGCATAAAATACAATTTGATATTGTATGAAAAATATATTGAGCAAATATACATATGTTAATGAATATCTCAGTAATTGATAGACATTTTGTGAATGAATTAATATTACATTTGTCGTAAGTAAATAAAAAATGATTAACATTAAATTTATTTATTTGGTTGTTTTTATAAAGTAACGGAACATTTGCAAAATTAAAGTAACATAGTAGTGGTAGTTATTAATTTTAAATTAATAAAATTATTAAGCCCAGATGATACGGAGGATGATGCTGACAACAATTTCCAAGGATTTGTTAATGTTTTCCTGAAAAAGAGTTAGAATTGCTTTTAATGCTTAAAATATATAAAACTAAAAATATGGTTCTAAGTTTTTTTCCTGGGACGATAAACATTTTGTTACATAAAAAATTAATTTATCAAATATTTTTTAAAGATGACATAATGTATTACCAAAGGCACTGCCGAATGTTTTACAGAAAAGTTAAATATAGAACCAATCACCGGAGGAATAGAATGTCTTCAATGGTATAAATTAGTATAATAAATTTTGTAAATATATTTTTACTTTTCCATCGATAGCTACGTACCTCGTTTTCTTCGAAGAAATTGGGAACTGTTTCGTTAAAGAAGTTGTTGAACAATCCGGAGAAGTCCAAATTCAGATTGTTTATTTTGAATGTTAGGTCGGACTGCAAAAAGTAATTATAACATATTATCATTACAATTATTACACAATCAGCCTATTTAATTACTAGCAAACACAAAAGATTCATAATGAGTACGATGTTATATATCTATTATAAGAACTAGGTCATGTCACACGAGATACTTCTAAACTGCAATGCCATGAAACGAAACGGACTCATTT